TGCATTTGCTGAGGTTCAAGTTGAAAAGGCAAGTGCAGAGGCAAACACTTCCGTTGAAACTGTACTTGCTGAGGCTTAAAAGGGAGTTGCAGTGCCAAACACTCCCGTCGCAACTACACTTGCTGAGGCTCAAAAAGGTAGTTGCAGATGCAAGCAGATAGTACACAGTACATGCAGAGGGACACGTGACACCTTCATCTTGGTGGCTCAAGGCAGAATATTCCATGTGATCCTCTGGGACATGCCTTCTCTCTATTTGGTTACTTGGTGTCCTCTTGGTACCAATGAAAATCCTATAAATAGAACCCATTTCCCAAGGTTCAACAAGAGGAATTTTGAGGATTTGGGGGAGATGCTGCCCATTTTGGCACCGTCATACACTTCTTATTGAGCTACTTGCTTCACCCCCACCCAGCTACACACTCTCCAACTCTCATACTGTTGCTGCTACTCATTCTCCAGCCACTTCTACCATTGTTGGACCATTAGCATAGTTTTACCTTTCTAATCACCTCTCTAACCTTGAACCCCCCTACAATATGTACTACTTTGCCCTACGGGAATGCTTATCCTTACCAGGACCAAGGAGAAGAGAGTGCGGAAAGCACAAGATGATCCCATGTCTTCAATCACTAATTAGAATTACTCTCAAGTCCTCTCAATTCTACATGGTGGCTTTATGACCACTCTATTTGTAGGATTGATTAAGAAATATAAAAAACCGTTAGATTTGTGTTGGTGAAAGAAAGAAAAACAAAATAAAAAACTTATAAGATTTACGTTGATGATAATAATAGATAATAATGCATTATTATTGATCAATTTGATGTGAGTGCTCTCTTTGTTAATGATTGATTACTATTAATGCATTATTATTGATCAATTTGATGTGAGTGCTCTCTTTGTTAATGATTGATTACTATAATACTTAGCTCTCTTGATGAGCAATAATGAGCTAGAATCCAAGAGGAAATGGAGTACGTATTATTGCTATTTTTTTTTAATTAAAAAAGCAGTTTTCTTGTGGATTAGGTTTTGTTTGGATGTGGGTTGGTTTTTTGATTTTTTAGCTTTTTAATTATTTTAATTTGGGCTAAAAAGTTTTATTTGTGATAGATTTTTTGACTTTTTTGTGAGAAAAAATGAAATGATTATAATTTAAATATGCCATTTTATCTTAGTCTATTTTATCTTGGGCCACTTACCAGTAAGTCCCATATACAAAGTTTAAAATCTACTAGTCCCAAAACAAAATACTTGCACCAATTAGTCCTACATATCTATAATTTTTACCAAAAAATCTCTTTTTTGTCCTACATATCTGTAATTGTTACCAAAAAATCTTTTTTTTTTTTTAAACTTTAAAAATGCTGCTACATTCCACCATTGCCAGACTTCCGTCAGACGATCATTGGAGACTCGCCAGAATATTTAAAATCACTGAAAATTCGTCGGAGTATCACCGAAAGTTCACCGGAGTATCGCCGAGTGTTCTGAACATCACTAGAAGTCGCCGTACTGTCCAAAATGTTCGTTGAATGTCAAAAATTTCATTAGAGACTCACCGAAATGTCTAAAATATTGCTAGAAATAAAAAAAGAATAAATGAAAAATTATAGTGAAAAGACATAGCAAAATGTGCTAAATATTGATAAATTGAAAGAAAAAAAATATAATAATAATAATAATAATAATAATAATAATAATAATAATAATAACAACAACAACAACAACAACAACAACAACAACAAACAACAATGGAAAAAAAAAGTATATATTATTTTTCAATTTTTGTGGGGTTTGAACAAATAATCTCCAATATTGATCAAATGGAAAAGTAAGCTTTAAAATTCTAAAATGTTACAGTTTTAAAGTATGATTCTATTAAGCATTTATCCTTATTAATCAAACTAGAAAATATGTTATGAAACAGCAAAATTTTACAGTTCAAAATAATGTTATGAAATTATAAAATTTTACAGTTTTAAAGCATAATTTATTTCAACACGAAAAAAATTGAAACTGTAAAATTTTACAGATTTCATTGTTTGTAACTAAAACTTAAAAACAACTTGTTCAGAACTTGAAAATTCTCCATTAAAACATGAAAATAGAAGTGTGTAACAGAGAAAAGGTAGAAAAATTGAGAAATCGAAGGAAAGAAACAAATTTAGAGAGAATATTGTACTTGACAACTATTTTTGGTTTGGATCTAATCAGATCTCATGTAAATTTACTCAGATTTGCATCAGATCTGAGTAAATCTACTCACCTTCTTCGTTGGAAACTCGTCTCTTTCACCGTCGGTGATGGTGAAGTTAGGAGTCAATGATCGGTGGTTGTCGGTAAATCCCAAGCAATGGTGGTCGTTGGTGACTATATATTAGAAAGAGAAAGAGAAAAAGTAAGGAATGGTCGCCGGTCATCGTAAAAGAAAATGAGAGAAAATGTAGAGAGGAAAGAGAGAGAGAAGAATGAAAGCACATGAAGAATGAAGAAAAAAAAATAGGTAATAGACTTTTGAGAGTATTTAAAAGACTGTGAGATTAAATAGATTTATCCTATTTTAAATACAACTTCTAAATAATTTGTACCTTTATCTTTTCATAATTATTTTAACCAAAAAATTCAAAAAAACTCATATGCCAAACCAACTCTCAATATCTTGTCTATATTTGGTGACATGTTGATATGGAGATTAATTTTTGAAATATAACAAGAGTACCAGATATGGATAAGATATCAATCTACATGAAAACTGCATTTTTTAGTTAAATAAAGAAAAATGATTTGTAGTTCTAATTCTTGAGCTCTAATGCTAGTTCTAATGAGTTGGCAGTGAGCTCCATCCACTATGATGTGATATTTTGATCTTGGTTTGTTTGTTTGTTTTATTTTTTATTTTTAATTTTTTTCTCCTTACCATATCATTAGTGCTCACCAAAACTAGTGTTATGAGTCATTACTGTTAAAAAAAATAGCAACAATAGGAACCCCATTTCCTCATGGATTCTAGCTCATTACTGCTGATCAAGGGAGCTAAGTACTATAGTAATCAATCATTAACAAAGAGAGCACTCACATTTAATTGATCAATAATAATGCATTATTATCGTCAACGTGAATCTTATGCACTGATGGAGTTATGAAGGGATTAGGGGGCACATGCCTCCCTCATTTTTTTTTTTTTTTTTTTTTTTTTTTTTTTTTTTTTTTTTGCATGTAAGAAAAATAATTAATAAATAAAAAATTTATATAGAAATAACATTTAGAATGATTTCTTAATGATATTTTTCAAATTACAAAAATAATGATAGTTGTTCTTATTGAAAATGAAAAAACTACAACAAATTATATTATTGTGTATAAAAATTTTATATAAAAAAAAAAATCAGTGTAACAGTAATACTAAATCATCATTTACATGTAAATATAGTTAACCCTACTATGAAAATGTGAAACTATTGAATTGTTAATTATATTTGACAAGTGAGATTAACCTTCTCTGTGTTATTTTACTATTGGCTGGTGATACTATATATCAATGATGATGTGGTATCACTATTATTTATATATTATTATATAATCTATCATATGATATACAAAACTCTTTTGCATTGCCTATAATACATTAGTTATAAGTAACACCATATTTCTAATTTTGATTTTTCACAACGTTAATTGTAAAAACAAAAGTTTAAAAACTTTTGTATTAAATATTTAAGATTTTGTGCTTAATATTAATTTTAAAATTATTATCTATTGTTATTGATTAAGAGAAGAAGAAAAAAATTGAAATTTTAATTAATAAGTGTCCCTCTGAATTATTTTTCTGGTTCTGCCACTGAAAGAGAGTGTCTGCTCCATTTGGCAATATTCATCTTCAACCTAGGAAATGCCTCTGCTTTGAACTTGATTTTTGAAATTAAAATCCAGAATGTTATAGAACATACGTGGAAATTTATCCCAACTATTCTGAAATATTTTGAACTTAAGCATTGTTTGTTTTAGCATAAAACACTTTCTATGTGAAATATTTTTCGAAAACATCTTCCACATAATGTATTAAATATTTAAGATTTTGTGCTTAATATTAATTTTAAAATTATTATCTATTGTTATTGATTAAGAGAAGAAGAAAAAAATTGAAATTTTAATTAATAAGTGTCCCTCTAAACTATTTTTCTGGTTCTGCCACTGAAAGAGAGTGTCTGCTCCATTTGGCAATATTCATCTTCAACCTAGGAAATGCTTCTGCTTTGAACTTGATTTTTGAAATTAAAATCCAGAATGTTATAGAACATACGTGGAAATTTATCCCAACTATTCTGAGATATTTTGAACTTATGCATTGTTTGTTTTAGCATAAAACACTTTCTATGTGAAATATTTTTCGAAAACATCTTCCACATAAAATGATTTTTGTGATTAGTTGCGACCTTGGAACTGATGAGCTAGTGATGGTGGTGGTAGGGTGGTGATGATGGTGTTGATAGTATTGGTGGCATTGTTAAGACTCAAGAAAATATTTCCATGTTTTGAATACAAAAATCTATTTTCTACCTAAAAATAAAAAATAAAACTTGTTTTTTCATTGATCATGAAAAAAAAAAACTTGTAATTGTCATCTAATAATCAAGTTCAAGTGATGATCTTCTTGGAACATTCAAATAATGGTATAACATATTTACTCTTATTGGACAAACACACAACCAACATAACATGGAATTTTGAAAAGACATGATAATTACTTACAAATTAGAGATCTGATGAGCTACTTTATAGACAAATAATCAATCACATAACCGGCTACAGAAAATACATGTGATCATCCTCATTAGACGTTAAAGCTTATCATTAGAAAGTCGGCTCAACGCAAGGTAGAATCCCACCATCTAACGTGTATGACATTTATCTGTATTTTTCTGTAGTCAATTTTGTATCCGTAAAATTATTGAGACTTTAACGAACTTGCAATCATTTGTAAATACTTCTTGACGTAAAAAAAAACACAAAACTTTATTACTATTATTCAATCACGACCACAAGCTTTTCTTATTTTGAGTAATTAAACATAATCACTCACTTCAAGCTACAACTACAAACCAGTACACCCCATAAACATACAACATTTGCTTCTTAATTATTTAGATTCAACCATACATATAGATATATCTCACATAATCCACTTCCAAGTTCCCATGCATGTTTGTGATTTTCCTTCAATGTTCATAAGCACTAACATCTGGCCTCGGCTCAAAATCTTTAACAAATGGCTTGCCTTTCAGATCAACTTCATCGTCATGATACGCACTAACATCTGGCCTCGGCTCAAAATCTTTAACAAATGGCTTGCCTTCGAGATCAACTTTATCGTCATGATAAGCACTAATATTTGGCCTCGGCTCAAAGTCTTTCACAAAAGGCTTCTTCTCTGCAGAATCATTGACAAGTTGATTGTTGTTTGCTGCTGCTTCTGTTGTCGTGTGACAGTCAGTTTTCTTGTCGGAGAGAGGTGATGACACCGAGCCCCGGTGGATGATGAGGCCTTCAATTGCTTCCGGCATGGGCTGATCTTTCATGATGACTTGCCAGTATTCTCCTTGGTCTTTTCTTGCGTCGACACTGCTAGCAACAAGCTGCTCAATAAAGAAACACACAAAGAGTTACAACTTATTTGATTTTTTGTGATTAAAATGCTAATTTTTTTTAATAAATACTCAAAATTGCATCGGACCCAATGAGATCTTTATGAAGTTTGGGATGCTAAGTTAAAATTAGGAAAAATTATGCAAATAGTCCTTATACTTTACACGATGTGTTAATTTGGTCCCTGTAGTTTCAATTTGCTTGATTTTACCCCTTAATTTAACGGATTGTGTTATTTTAGTCCAATAAATAACGGCTGTCCAGTTAATTTAACGGAAAGCCAAAAATATGTCAATTTAGTCTCTGTATTTTTCACAATGTGATAATTTAGTCCCTGTCAAAATCGAGAAAATTGAAAGTATATAGACCAAATTGACACATTAACAACCGTTATTTATTAGACTAAAATGACACAATCTGTTAAATTAAGGGACAAAATCGAATAAATTAAAACTACAAAGACTAAATTGACACATCATGTAAACTACAAGGATTATTTTCATAATTTACCCTTAAAATTATTTAGATTTCGAAGAGGGTAAAATATATAAGATTATATGGCCTTGTTTGGGAAAGGCTAAAAATTGGCTTTTTGGGCAAAAATTCACAAAAAGATAAAATAGGATAACATAGCCAATAAGACAAATGTCACATCAAACCCATAACCATTTTACTTTTTCTTTCACAAACATGACATCCAATCCAACCATCTTCCCAAACACAAAAATTTTAACTTATTAAAATAGTCAAAAACTAAAATAACCTACTAAAATAGCTAACTTCCCAAACAAAGCCATAGTGTTGATAGTTCTTAAACCCTTGGGATTTGGAAGTTTCACCTAATATTCAGATTAATGCACAATTATACGACAAAACCAACACTTCAAACCCAAAAAGTGAAATTTCACACCTTTCAAACACTGAAATTTTAAAGTTTTTAAAATTTGAGTGTTAAAATTGTGAAATTCCATAATGGATTTGTACACAGACATGTTTCTAATCTCAGGGACGGACTTATATAACTGAAAAATATTTTTAACTAATACTAATACAATAAGGGCGGTTTTCGACATCTCAAAAGCTGGTTGTTTCCAACCGTCCCTTCAGTCCATCCTATATATTATGTACTACTTTGCCCTGGGAGAATGCTTATCCTTACCAGGACCAATGAGAGAAGAGTGAAGAAAGCACAAGCTGATCCCATGTCTTCAATCACTAATAAGAATTACACTCGAGTCCTCTAAATTCTGCATGGTGGCTCTATGACCACTTGCTATTTATAAAGATTTAATAAGAAATATAAAAAAACCATAAGCTATGTATGAAGCACAAACACATACGGATACGGTAATTTCAAAAAAAATGGAGATACATCGGGGGGACAAGGCAAATTATTATTATTTTTATTATATATATTTGCTATGTAGATTAAATATTATGTTACAAAATAATCAAAATTAATAAAAACTAATATCAATTCAATATATATGTATATAAACTACTACATTTAAAAAAATTAATAGACTATTCATATTTAAACACGCATGTCCCTGCCATGTTTCTTGCACACACAAAAAAAATTAAATGGACAAGCCAATTGGAATGCGTGTTTCTATTGTATCCCAGCCATGTCCCTTTTGTGTCCCCTACAAAAAAATAATAAAATTAAGGGGACACACCATTTAGCGTGTCCCGTACGTGTCCCAGCATGTCCCCGTGTCCGACACCGTTACGGCGCCTATTTTGAAGTATTCATACTTCATAAACCATAAGATTCATTTTGGTGAAAAGACAAAAAAAAAAAAAAAAAAAAAAAAACCCATACGATTCACGTTGATGATGATAATGGATAATAATGCATTGTTATTGACGGATTAGATGTCAGTGCTCTCTCTGTTTATGATTACTATAATATTGAGCTCTCTTTATCAGCCATAATGAGGTAGAATCCAAGAGGAAATCGAGTTTGTATTGCACATATTTTTTTTAACTAAAAAAGTTGTTTTCATGTGGATTCGATATCTTATCTATGTTTGGTGACATGTCGATTTCAAGATTAATTTTTGGAATATGACAAAAGTATGGGCCATTGATAATCAATCATCAAAGACTGTTTGCTTCAATTGGCAATATTCATCTTCAACCTATGAAATGCTTCTGCTTTGAACTTGGTTTTTCAAATTAAAATCCAAATTTATGTGGAAATTTATCCTAACTATTTTTGAGATGTTTTGAACTTTTGCACTGTTCGTTTTAGCAGAAAACACTTTCTATGTGAAATATTATTCAAAAAACGCCATCCACATAAAATGATTTTTGTCATTAGTTGCAGCCTTGAAACTCATGAGCTGCTGGTAGTTGGGGCTGTAGGGTGGTGGTGTTAAGACTTCTGTTTAGAAAATATTTTTCACATTTAGAAAAAACAATCTTTTTTCTACCTTAGAAAAAAACTTGTTTTTTCATTACCACGGAAATTTTTTTGTTTACTTTAATTTTTTTTTTGTTGTACTGAATGTCAAAAAATATGTAAAACATTTTTCTACTGAAAAAGGGAGACATAAACAGAAATCGAAAGGGTCAGAACAAGGAAAAATGCATTATATATATAATAATTTTCAGATAACATGTTCTCAAATGTAGTAAGAAAATGAAAGGATAAAGAAATCAGGATAGTGGATTTATAAAAGTATTTTCTAATTTTTAAATTTTGTCTTCAACAATCAAGAAGATCTCCTTGGATTTTATAATAAAAAAAATCTCCTCGATGGAGACGTCCTTTTGCGAATTGGATCTGCATGCTTTATCCATATTGAATTAGCTGACTTCCTAATACTCTGTTTGTAGAAGAAGAAACTGAGAAGAGCTTAAGGGAAAGAAGAAAAGATGGCCATTAGATACACTTCTTGGAGCGTCTTGCTTTATCTACTTCTTGTGATGGTAATATCTAAGCTATAGATGTCTACTTCTTGTGCAGTAGTAGTATCATGTAGTAGTTGTTGTTAACTCTTTTTTTTTTTTTTTTTTTTAATCTTTTACACTGTCAGTTCCAAGCCCGGATAAGGAAGAAGGTTGTGTGTTAAGTAGCCTGATAGCACGTTAAAATTCTCATAAAACCCTTGTGAACATAAATCCTAATAAAAATATGTGAGTATGGTTTGACGAGGTAATTGTTGTTGTTGTCGTCGTTGTCATTATTTGTGTTCTTGTTCTTGCTCTTCTTGGTATTTTGGTCGAAATTTTCATGTGAAAGTTGGGATTCCTTTTGCTTTCATGAAAGGAAATGATAATAGTAGTGGTAGTTGTTGTTGCTGTTCAATCCGTAGTATTTTATCTTTTATACCAAGCCTGGATAAGGAGGGTTGTGTGTTACGTAGCTGGACAACAAGTAAAATTCCAGTCAGATCGTTTATGAACGTAATCTTGATATGAAGATGCATGTATGATTTGGTTTAGTAGTTGCTATTTCTGTTGTTAGAGGGATTTCAGAACACATAGAAGTTTAAATTATTTCATTACATTAAGAATTTACACTACATATTTTCAGTTTATCATCAAAGTTTGAAGAAACATTCTAGCATTGGATGTTTTCTTTACCTCTTTCCATACCATGCTTACGCAGAACTTTAACAAAATGCTAGTTCTTATTTTTGCAGAGCTCTCATGGAATTGGAGCCATGAAAATGATTCACAAAGATGATTTGGTCGATGATCTTCATCACAATGTGATGAATGCTTTAAAATATCCCATGATTGATAACCAAGACGATCATGCTCATGCTCATAATGAGATACATACAGATCATATTCATGATCATTCATCATCACACATGGATCACATAGACCCTTCACTAATTGTGTTCTTCTTTTTGGAAGACCTAAAGGTAGGAAAAAGAATTCCCATTTACTTCCCAAAGAGAGACCCTTCTTCCTCTCCTCATTTCCTACCCAAAGAGGAATCCGATTCCATTCCTTTTTCACTAGAACAACTTCCAAATCTTCTTCGAATCTTTTCCTTCCCTCAAGGCTCTCCACAAGCCCAAGCCATGGAAAGCACACTTAGACGATGCGAGGTCAAACCCATCAAAGGAGAGTCAAAAACATGTGCCACATCATTAGAATCCATGCTTGATTTCGTACGTGTCATGCTCGGATTAGAGAGCGAATTCAAAGTTGTATCAACTATCCACTTCACAGAATCAACCACCATGCTTCAAAATTACACTATCCTAGAAGATCCTCTAGAAATTTCTGGTCCCAAGATGGTGGCATGTCATACCATGCCTTACCCATATGCGATTTTCTATTGTCATTACCAACAGAGCGAAAGCAAGGTCTTTAAGGTCTTTTTGGGGGGTGAAAATGGAGACAGGGTTGAAGCGGTTGCTGTTTGTCACATGGATACCTCTCAGTGGAGCCCTGGTCATGTGTCATTTCAAGTACTAGGAATTGAGCCAGGGTCCTCCCCGGTTTGCCATTTCTTCCCATCCGATAATCTTGTGTGGATTGCATCATCTACTTTAATTAGTCATATGTAGTTTGCATGTAATCACTGAGATCCTTGCACTTTGATTTAGAATCTTACTTGTACGCATGTCAAGTGAAACGAAGATCGTGTTATGCAGGTGTTTTATGATTTAAGAATGTAGTAATAAAATAATTGGGACCAAAGATGGCTATTTCTGCTTCTATTTTTCTAGTTTGTTGCAGTTTCTTATGGGCATGTTTGGTTGTATTTTTGTTTTTTGTATGTGTAGTCATTTTCTGAAAAACTGTTTTTGATTTTTAATTTTGTTGAAAAAACTCAATTTTCAGGGACAGACATTTTGCACACAAAAAAGAAAGTAATGGGTGCTTTTGAACTTTTTATGTTAACGAGAACATAAAATCAACTTGCTTTTAATTTTTTTTAAAATATTTTTAGATGCCTTTAGAAATCATCACTTAATGTTATGCTGTGTTTTAGACCTCAATTTGGAACCTGCAATTCCCCTAATTGTTGGCAGATGAGGATGACTGGTTCATATTCTTCATTTTATAAGTTTTCAGAAAAAGGCCGAGCCTCGAAGTAAGTTGTCATTTGAAGACTAAAAGAACCAACTCAACAATTTCAAAAAAGACAGATGAAAACCAATTAGGGGAATTGCATGTGATCACGAAAAAGAAAAATACTGAAAATAGGAAATATGATTTGCGCATGTCAGTTGCTCTACCTGTCACATTGTTGCTGCAAAGTACTCCCTCATGACTGGTTTGAAGATTAATTTCCCAACATAATCAATCTGATTATTGAACTGAATGTAAGTTAAAAATGATGTTTTGATGGTATTGAACTTCACTTTCCACGAGTGTAGGCAAAATTAAATGGTTATATAGTCATCCATTTGAGTTGAATATTTCTATATCTAGACAAAACCATCACTATAGGAAATTGCACTTTTGCCCATCAAAAATTTAGTCGGCAAAAGTCAATTTTTAGTCGGCAAAAGTTTTCTGCGACTAAATTTTTTGGTCGCCATTTTGGCGCCAATGGAGGGTCGGGAAAAGTAAGTAGCAACTAAAAAAATTTTTAGTCGGGACAAAGGTTTTCATTTGCCAACCAAATTTTGGTAGCTAATTAAATATTTACCGCAACTAAACCATTTTGTAGCTAAAATAGTTTAGTCGCCAATTGTCACATTTCAAAACGAAACATGTTAGTCGCCAATTGTCACATTCTACAACGAAACATATTAGTCGCTAAAAGTTACATGCCACGACCAAACATGTTAGTCGCCAAAAGTAATGTTTGCACAACCATTACTTTAGTTGGCAATAGATCTATTAGCGACCAAACCCTTTGATTGTCAAAATTAATAATTTTACCGACTAATTATTTAGTCGCCAAATGTACTCTCTCGCCTACCAACGTTTTGGTCACCAAATGTGAGTGTCTATACATCGACTACCTTATTTAATCGGCAAATTGTTTACTAATGTTTCCCGACTAATCACTTGGTCGCCAAAAAAAGAAAAACAAAACCAAAATTTAGTCGCCAACATCCAACAAAATCAACCTGCAATTTATAATAATCCATCCAATCCATTCAATATAATCTATAATTTGCAACAATCATTCAAACCAACAAAATCAACTGGATCATGAACATTCAATAAAATACATAAATCATCCAATCCTGAACTTATTTAATTAAAACCATCAACTTTTATAAGTTTTCATCCACAAGTAATTCCAAACTACATATTCCTCCAATTAAAAATTCACTTGTAATCTATATGATCATCCAAGTCACACCCATCTAGCATAAAAATTTAAAAATGACAAGTACTTGTTTTTATGTTTTAAATTTTTATCCATGCGCATCTATCAAAAAATATAACTAATAATCTACCCAAATATTTTCCATACACACCATCCAAAAATATAACTACTAGTCTACCCATATATTTTCCATACATATCTATCCAAAAATATATAATTCTTCAAAAAAATGTAACAAGTGCCAACTAGTCCTGTACAATTTAGCTTCATGCATGAGTTCATCCATCTGTACCAAAGAAAAAGAGAAATAATGTCAGGAAATTTTTTTATGAAAATATTTGCATATCAAATTTTTTTCTCACATTTTTTTGTCTAAACTTCTAACAAGATTTCAATTTTGAGCCTGTTACCAAAAAAAAAAAAAACAAAAAAAATTCTATATTAGAGTCCTCATATTGTCAACATTTTCCCCCTTGTTTTATGTTCTTTAATGAACACTAAAGTGACAAAAAATATAAGAGTTATCATATTGTCAACATTTTAAATCATGCATTAGTATTGGAGCTGCTCTATCTAACCGGGTATAAAGTTCTTTAACCAATAAATTTCTAACCACAAACAAAACCTAGCATTTATATTCAATTTAAACTAAAATTTATATACAAAACATAGCAAAACATTTTTCTTTAGATACAAAACCTCTGAATCCAATTCCGTTGACTCAGTATATCCATATCTAACCTCTGAATCCAAGCCATGACATTCATCATACTTTTTTTTTTCCAAAGTCGCCTTGTAGTGTCAAGAAGAGATTCACATGCATCAAATGCACTCTTAAGTATCTCAAACCAAATGACAATGCATGATAAAACTACTAGACTTACTCCTCATCCACCCACATACCACCACAATTACTGTATACACCTGCAAGTGAAAAAAAAAAAAAAAAAACCCAAAGTAATAGATAACATTTAGGTGCTTTGATAACACAGTAGATTAAAACATATGATATGCTAGTTCAAATAGCAACCATAACAAACTATCAAATAAAAAGGCAACCATAACAAGAACATACTAGTTGATAACAAGTAACAGAGCCACTTGAGGTTTCCAGCCATTAGCCTACTTTTTAAAAGTTCTTCATGTTGCAGAATCTGAATAATATATATAAGAACATAAGCGGGCTAGGTAGCATGGGGAGAGAACCCATCACAAAAATAAATATTTAAAATCAGAAACAATTTTCAAAATTCAAAAATGCACATTAATTTTTTACCGGATCACCACTACCAAGGGGAGGGGCGGAGACGAGGAGATGAGTGTGATGGTTCAAAACATTTAGGACTACTAGTCTGAAATAAAAACTCAACAACATAGGTGCCAAGAACAAAGCAAATAACACAAATTGATGAATCTAGCAATTACCCACACCCACACCAACACCCACACCCACACACACAAAAAACCCCTTATAATATTGACCAATGTATTTACATAACGTATGAGATCGTGAAGATCAAATAAACCCGATGAATCTACCAATACACACCCAAAAAAAAAAAAAAAACCCCTTCAAATATTGACCAATGTCTTCACATAACCTATGAGATTCAAATAAACCCAACACAAAATCTTATATTTTGGACAATTTGAATAGAAGTATGGCATTAAGGATCACCATAACAATCAAACAAAGAAACTCACTCTGGTTATTTGCATCGAAAAAGTAAATATCAAATCCCATTCTACTCATGTTTAGAAGAATCAGGCACTTTCTTAAGTACAAAAAATTTCAATTGTAACTTAAGTAATCTCATTTTTTTTGGGTTAAATAAGTCGAAAAAAATCAAAGAGTCTATAATCTAGAATTGTAATCAAACACCATTAATTGACCTTTTCTTAATCAAACAATCGAATTAACTCAAAGATTTATTTAAAAAAAATCAAACCCATTAAGAAATGAATAGAACAAATACAAATTCCATATAAATACACACATGCATTTGGGTCATCAATCATCGCGAAGCACACATTTTTGGCACAAAATGTTAGCTTACTAATTCAAACAACATGGTCTTAAATGAAATCAAATATACAACATGTTAAACATTTGGGCTTAGCCAGAACCCAGAAACAACAAACCAATAGTAATCAGAATTGGGCTTCCCTTATAAATCAGAACCTAATTAATAATAGAAAGAATCTAGAGATTTGAATGGTACCCTTCAATTTGCCTTAGCAAAACAACATTGGGAGAGAGGTGAGTAGTATCTTAATCGAGGGTTTAATAGTGCGATGATCGGAGATATCGAGGGGTATCTAGGAGAGAGAGATGTATATAAGCGTAGATATAGAGAGAGAGGAAGAGGAGGGAGAGAGAGAGTAGTACCTTCTTCGCTTTGCTGCCCGCTTCGACTCTCCCTTTCTCTGCGATTAGACGATTCAGACCCTTGCCTTATCCCGCGGTTTTGCTCCCTCGCACCCTCCTCTTCTGGGTCTGTTCCCAACCCTTTCTATGATGGGAGTTGGTGATTGAAAAAAAAAAAAAAAAAAAAACCGACCAATCACAGCCTCAGAGAGTCGTGGGTGCCTCTCCTGAGGTCCAAATCATTTTTGTTGATGTATTTGTTTTTTTTCCTAATATATATATATATATATATATTTTTTCTGGTGTTGGGTGCCGAAGTATTTTATTTTGGTGCCTTATTTTTTTTAGTTATATTGTTCATGACAAAATGTGTATCGTGTGCAGTGTATATTTAATATATTAATAGCATACCATATGTATGCTATAGAAAATTTTATAATTTACAGTCAGCATTACAAGTCGAAAAAAAAATTATCAATATTATCATTAATGGCATAAGCAATTGACATGCCGTTACTAAGAGATTATTTACAATTTACCAAAAAAAAAAAAGTCATAAAATTGAAAATTTGGCTTGCTTTTATTATATATTGTTGATGTGATACTGTAAAAATTCAATTTTATTATAGGGGTGGTGATTGATTGCGTGAGAGAGAGAGAAAGTGTTCTGTATTCCTACACAGGGCATAGCTTTTTATTTTCCCACTCAAATGTTGGCACCTTTGGCGACTAATGTCAAATTTTGTCGGCACAAAATTTAGTATAGTCAAACCAACTCTAACAGTGACTAAAATGTTAGTCGCCAAAAGAAGACATTTGGCGACTAATTTTTCTTTCGTTGGAAAAAAATGAATGTATCACGACTAAATTTTTTTTTGTTGCGAAAACTTTATATTTGCCGACTAATTTTTTAGTCGCCAAAGAGTAACAGTAATATCATGGCTGTATTTGCTGACTGAATTTATTTTAGTCAGCAAAAATTAGCATACCACGATTAAAACAGACTTTAGTAGCCTAAAAACTAGACTAGTGCAGACAAAAAAAAGTATTGGTCGCCTATTATGGCATATTTAGCGACTAAAATTTTTTTTGGTGGCCAATAAATATTATACCCAACTAAAAAAATTTAGTAGCTAAATCCTAAACCAACACCGACCAATACATTTTTTAGTCACCAAAAATTGTACTTTTGGCGACTAAATTCCTTTTAGTCGTTAAATGTGGTTGGCAAAAATGTAAATTGTTGTAGTGCATATTCCAAAATGCCTTTTTTTTCTTTTTTTGTGTGCTAATAGATCGATAATAGCTGGCGTGGTGCTTATGCAAACTGGTTCTTGTATACATATTACAGACTGGTTGGCCTTTTGCTTTGTTAATGCTGATATAGTGTAAAATATATTCACATCCATTAAAAATAGTTTGGTTGCCAATTAATTGCTATTTTGTAAAAAGTTGTCGCCTCTCTCTTTCTTTCTCTCTACGTGCACACACGTAGATGCCCAAACATAAGGATAAGATAGGAGGGGAGAAAAACAATGAAATCATATTTGCCTCAAAACATTTTTCTAATATTTTTTCGTTAAATCTCTATGAACATCTTTTTTTTATACAACAATGAATATCAAAAGCAACAATCTTAACTGCCTCTTTGCATACAGAGGCAAAACTGCTTATATCTGACCCTTTCTAGGCCCTATAGTGGCGGGAGGTTCATACATTGGGCTGCCCCTGTGAAAAATATTTGCCATTGACAATTCTCACTAGCTCATTCTTGCTATCAATCATTGACAAAGAGAGCACTCACGTCTAATTGATCAATAATAAAGCATTATTATCATCAACATGAATTTTATGCAGTGATGAAACTATGAAGGAATTAGGGGGCACATGTTCCCCACTCATTTTTTCTTTTTTCTTTTTTCTTTTTTTGCATATAAGGAAAATAATTAATAAATAGAAAATTTATATAGAAATAACATTTAGAATGATTTCTTAAAGATGTTTTTCAAATTACAAAAATAATGATGATGGTTTTGATTGAAAATGAAGAAATTACGAAAAATCACATTATTATGTATGAAAATTATATTAAAAAAATCCAGTGTAACAGTGATACTAAATCATCACTTACATGTAAATATAGTTAACCCCAATATGAAAATGTAAAATTATTGAATTGTTAGTTATATTTAACAAGTGGGATTAACCATCCATGCATTATTTTACTATTGGTTAGTGATACCATATATCGATGATGATGTGGTATCACTATTATTTATATATTATATAATCTATCATAAGATATACAATACTCTTTTGCATTGCTATAATACATTAGTTATAAGTAACACCATATTTCTAATTCTGATTTTTTACAAGGGCAATTGTAAAAACAAAAATTTTAAAACTTTTGTATTAAATATTTAAGATTTTGTGCTTAATATTAATTTAAAAAATTATTATCTATTGTTATTGATTATGAGATAAAAAAAAATTAAATTTTAATTAATACACTACAGGAATTCGCAATTTTGCCGACTAAAAATTTAGTCGGCAAAAGTCCATTTTTAGTCGGCAAAAGTTATCCATGACTAATTTTTTTAGTTTCCACTTTGGTTTCCAATTGAGGGTCGCAGAAAGTAATTAGTGACTAAAAAAAAATTTTGTTGGGAAAAAGTTATATTTGCCGACTAAATTTTTGGTTGTTGAATGTTACATTACCGTGACTAATCCATTTTGTTGCTAAAACACTTTAGTCACCAAAAGTGATCTTTTCCCAACTAAATATGTTAGTCGCCAATTGTCACGTTCCCCAACCAAAAGTGTTAGTTGCCAAAAGTAATGTTTGAGCAACTAAAACTTTAGTCGGCAATAGACTTATTCACAACCAAACACTTTGGTTGCTAAAATTAATAATTTTACTGACTAATTATTAGTTGCCAAATGTACCCTTTCGCCTACCAACATTTTGGTCGCCAAATCTGAATAGTGAACCATCGACTAATCACTTGGTCACCAAAAGAGGAAAAACCAAACGAAATTTTGATCGTCAATTCAATTCTTTTTGTTGATGAAAATAAAAATAAAATATAAAAAGAATTCCATTTGATCTGTATGATATTTAATAATCCATCTAAACCATTCAATATAACCTGTAGTTTGCAAGAATCATTCAAACCAATAAAATCAATTAAAAAATGGTCATGTAATCTATATAAGTTTTCATTCACAAGTAATTCCAAACTACATAATTGTCCAATTAAAATGGTCATGTAATCTATATAATTATCCAATTTACATTCATCTAGTATAAAAATTTAAAACACAACATGTAGTTATGTTTTAAATTTTTATCCATAAGCATCTATCCAAAAATATAACTAGTAGGCTATCCAAATACTTTCCTTACGCTTCTAGCCAAAAATATATAATCCTTCAAAAAATGTAACAAGTGCCAAATAGTCCTATACAATTCAGCTTCGTGCACGAGTTCATCCATTTGTACAACAGAAAAACAAAAATAATGTAAGGTAGTTTTTTTTATGCTTCATGTGAATTTATATTAGCACATTGAAACAGGAAAACAAGGGATTGCTGGCTATTGTCTGATTGTGTTTTGATTTTGCCTAAACTAGAATGACAGTTGAGGCAGGGCAAGGTAGAGTCAATTTAAGGTCAGTGCATGAGATTGACAGTGAGAAACCTCAAGTCTCTGAAAGCTCCAATCAAAGCCAAAAACAAGAGTGATGTTTTCAGTGGATATGCCCTACCAGATCTTGGGTATCATTTTTCACGACAACCTACTCAAGAATTTATATCATTTCCCCCTTTTTCATTTTGAAGTACAGAGCTTTAGGGGGATGCATGATTTCTGTGTTGTTATTCCACTATAAACCATCATTCATCTTTTAAATTGCCACATTTCAAATATCTTCTTGTCACATCCAGTTAAGTTCATATCAAAATTTTCATTTTTGAGTCTTCTAAAATTTATGCTTGGGATAATTTGTCAATGGCAAAGCCATTCATATATTGGGTACAGACCTCAACGATCCCCTCAATTTTCCATACATCATCAACTATTTAAGTTAGCCTGTGAGTAGTCAGTCCATTGCTCCCTTAGCAATTATCAAGAAGAACATATTCAGCTCAGTTTCTTAACCATTTTTTTTTATTGGACAAAACTAAACTTCATAAACAACTGCTATCTTGTTTATTTTTTAGTCGCTGAAAATAAATTTTTGCCAACCAAACTTTTGGTTGCAAAAACAAAAACAAAAAAATTTTATTTTTTATTCGGCGACTAAATAATTTTAGTAGCCAAAACTAACTATACAACGACTAAAATATTTTTTAGTTGCTGAAATAAATTTTTGTCGACCAAACTTTTGGTCGCCAAAAAAAAAATGTAAAATTTTGTGTTTCATTCGGCGACTAAATAATTTTAGTAGCCAAAACTAACAATATAGCAACTAAAAAAATATTTTTTAGTTGCTGAAAATAAATTTTTGGAGACCAAATTTTTGGTCGCCAAAGATAAAAAGAAAATTTTTGTTTTTCATTAAGTGACTAAATAATTTTAGTAGCCAAAACTATCCATATAGCGATTAAAAAATGTTTTAGTCGCTGAAAATAAATATTTGAAGACCAAACTTTTGGTCGGCAAAGAAATTTTTTTTTTTTGTTTTTCATTTGGCGACTAAATAGTTTTAGTAGCCAAAACTATCTGTACAATGGCTAAAATATCTTTTAGTCGCTGAAAATAAATATTTGCCGACCAAACTTTTGGTCGCCAAAGAAAAAAAGTAAATTTTTGTTTTTCATTCGGCGATTAAATAATTTTGGTAGTTAAAACTAACTATACAACGACTACAATATTTGTTTAGTTGCCAATTGTGGCAAATGTAGCGACTAAATTTTTTTTGGTTGCCAATTGTGGCATTTTTAGCCACTAAATTTTTTTTAGTCGCCAATAATCAATATACCCCGACTAAAAAAATTTAGTAGCTAAATATTATACTTTTGCCGACGAACTCACTATTTTGGTCCCCAATTCTACAACTTTTGGCCACCAAAATTTTTTTAGTCTGCACAAATGGTCACCAAAAGTGTATTTTCTTGTAGTGATAAGTGCCCCTTTGAACTATTTTCCTGGCTTCGCCATTGAAAGAGAGTGTCTGCTCCATTTGGCAATATTCATCTTCAATCTAGGAAATGCCTCTGCTTTGAACTTGGTTTTTTAAATTAAAATCCATAATGTTATAGTACAGATTTACGTGGAAATTTATTCCAACTATTTTGAGATATTTTGAACTTATGCATTGTTTGTTTTAGCATAAAACACTTTCTATGTGAAATATTTCTCGAAAACATCTTCCACATAAAATGATTTTTGTGATTAGTTGAGATCTTGGAACCGATGAGCTATTGATGGTGGTGGTAGAGTGGTGATGATGGTGTTGATAGTATTGGTGGCATTGTTAAGACTCTAGAAAATATTTCCACGTTTTGAATACAAAAATCTATTTCCTACCTAAAAATTTTAAAAAAAAAAAAAAACTTGCTTTTTCATTGATCATGAAAAAAAAAAAAAAACTTGTAATTGTCTTCTAATAATCAAGTTCAAGTGATGAATTTCTTGGAGTATTCAAATAATGGTATACCATATTTCTTAGTACACAGTGTATTCTTATTGGACAAACACACAACCAACATAATATGGTATTTCGAAAAGACATGATAATTACTTCACATAACCGACTACAGAAAATACATGTGATCATCCTCATTAGACGATAAAGCCTATCATTAGAAAGTCCGCACAACTCATGGTAGAATCCCACCATCTAACATGTATGACATCTATCTGTATTTTTGTATATTCAATTTGGTATCCGTAAAATTATTGAGACTTTAAAGATTTCTTGACGTAAAACAAAAAAAAAAAAAAAACAACTTTATTACTATTATTCAATCACCATCACAACAAGCTTTTCTTATTTTGAGTAATTAAACATAATCACTCACTGTAAACCACAATTACAAACCCGTACACCACACAAACATACAACATGTGCTTCTTAATTATTTAGATTCAACCATATATATAGATATATCTCACATAATCCACTTCCAAGTTCCTATGCATGCTTGTGATTGCCCTTCAATGTTCATAAGTACTAATATCTGGCCTCGGCTCAAAATCTTTAACAAATGATTTGCCTTTCAGATCAACTTCATTGACATGGTAAGGCCTTGGCTCAAAGTCTTTCACGAAAGCCTTCTTCTCTGCAGAATCATTGACAAGTTGATTGTTGTTTGTTGCTGCTTCTGTTGTCGTGTGATAGTCGGTTTTCTTGTTGGAGAGAGGTGACGACACCAAGCCCTAGTGGATGATGAGGCCTTCAATTGCTTCCGACATGGGCTGATCTTTCATGATGACTTGCCAGTATTCTCCTTGGTCTATTCTTGTATCAACACTGCTAGCAACAAGCTGCTCAATAAAGAGACACACAAAGAGTTACAACTTATTTGGATTTTGTGATCAAAATGCTAGTTTCTTTTATAAAATACTCAAAATTGTATCAGGCCCATGAGATCTTTATGAAGTTTGGGATGCCAAGTTAAAATTATTTAGATTTCGAAGGGGCTAAAATATATGAGATTATATAATGTTGATAGTTCTTAAACCCCTTGGGGTTTGGAGGTTTATTTTCAGATTAATGCACAATTATACAACAAAACCAACCCTTCAAACCTAAAAAGTGAAATTTCACACTTTCCAAACTGTGGAATTTTTTAGTTTTTAAAATTTCAGTTTTAAAATTGTGAAATTCTATAATGGATTTGTACACAGACACATGATTCTAATCTCAGGGATGGACTTATATAATTGAAAAATATTTTTAACTAATACTAATACAATAAGGGTGGTTTTCGAAACCTAGAAAGCTGGTTGCTTCCAAGCATCCCTTTGGTCCATCCTATATATTATGTACTACTTTGCCCTGGGAGAATGCTTATCCTTACCAGGAACAATGAGAAGAGAGTGAAGAGAGCACAAGCTGATCCCATGTCTTCAATCACTAATCAAAATTACTCTCGAGTCCTTCTCTATTCTGCATGTTGGCTCTATGACCACTTGCTATTTATAGAGATTGATTAAGAAATATATATATAAAAAAAACCATAAACTATGTATGAAGCACAAACACAGACACGGATACGGTGATTTCAAAAAAAATGGTGACACATCGGCGAACACGGCAAATTATAATTATTTTTATTATATATATTTGCTATGTAGATTAATATTATGTTACCAAATAATCAAAATTAATACAAACTGACATCAATTCAATATATATATATATAAATATAAACCACTACATTTAAACAAATTAATAGATTATCTATATTTGAACATGCATGTCCCCGCCATGTCTCCTGCACAAAAAAAATAAAAATAAATAAATGGACACGCCATTTGGCATGCATGTCCCTATTGTATTTTTGTCGTGTCCCTTCCGTGTCTCCTACAAAAAAAAAATAAAAAATTAAGGGGACACACCATTTAGCATGTCCCGTACATGTCCCCCGCATGTCCCCATGTCCGACAATGCTACGATGCCTATTTTGAAGTGTCCATACTTCATAGACCATAAGATTCATTTTGGTGAGGAAAAAAAAAAATCATAAGATTCAGGTTGATGATAATAATGGATAATAATGCATTGTTATTGATGGATTAGATGTTGGTGCTCTCTCCAGTAGCGGAGGGAAAGAAGGCCTAGGAGGTCACGTGGCCCCCTCAGTTTTGATTTTTTTTTTTGTTTTTTGTTTTTTGTGTGTGTGTGTGTGTTGTTGTCATATACAAAATGTATTTTTTTTCTTAACATGTTTTTTGGTTAAGTGTTTATTGTATTGTTCACGACAAGTAATTATTTGATACTTTGAGAGCACTATGTAGTATTATTTACGTAGTAGTTTAAATCAATAGTATAGCGAAAAATCTTATAGATTTGATATAATGAACTCATTATTTTTAGGCAGTTGACAGACCACTTAGTGTGATTTATGATTTCCCATGCTTTGAGCATCACGTAAGCAATGCTATATGGTATTCTATACTATTTAATAATTTTCATTCAAAACACATCATTGATAAGCAATGTCATCTTTTTAGTATTTTTCTATCAAATAAAAATTAAATAGATTTTATAATAATTTGTGCTATAAAGGATGCGTTTTTGTTTTCTAAAATTAGGAATTTTGATCCATAATTTTTTGTGTTAAAATTGCAAAGTTACATCACCATTCCGCACTGAGCTATTATACACTATTATAGAATTTTAGTTTGTTCCTATTAATAATGAATATGTAATTTTTTATGCTTAAATTTAACTTATAAAATTATTATTATCTTAATGCTGATCATGATTTTTTAAAAAATAAAAATTATAATTAATAATGCCCCTCCAACATAATTTCCTAATTCCTCCACTGGCTCTCTGTGTTTATGATTATTATAATATTGAGCTCTCGTTATGGGTAATAATGAGCTAGAATCCAAGAGGAAGAAAAATTGTTTTAGTGTGGATTTGATATCTTATCTTGTCTATTTTTGGTAACATGTCAATTTCAAGATTAGTTGAAAAGTTGTTTTAGTGTGGATTCGATATCTTATCTTGTCTATTTTTGGTAACATGTCGATTTCAAGATTAATTGAAAAGTTGTTTTAGTGTGGATTCGATGTCTTATCTTATCTATTTTTGGTAACATGTCGATTTCAAGATTTATTTTTGGTATATGACAAGAGTCACTACAACAAATTACATTTTTGGTGATTAAATTTAGCAATTAAAAAAAAATTAGTCGCCAAAAGTTGTGAAATTGGCGACCAAAAATTATATTTGTCGACAAAAGTACAATATTTATCTACTAAGTTTTTTCAGTCAGGGTATATTGATTATTGGCGACTAAATCAGTCGCTAAAAATGTTAGAATTGGCGACTAAAAATGCCGAATGAAAAATAATTTTTTTTTTTTATCTTTTGGTCGTCAAAAATTTATTTTCAGCGATTAAAAAATATTTTAGTTGCTATATAATTAGTTTTAGCTACTAAAATTATTTAGTCGCCGAATGAAAAATAAAAAATTACTCTTTTTTTTTTTAATTTTTATTTTTGGTGATCAAAACTAAAAATGCCGAATGAAAAATAAATTTTTTTTTTTTTATCTTTTGGTCGTCAAAAATTTATTTTCAGCGATTAAAAAATATTTTAGTTGCTATATAATTAGTTTTAGCTACTAAAATTATTTAGTCGCCGAATGAAAAATAAAAAATTACTCTCTCTTTTTTTTTATTTTTATTTTTGGTGATCAAAAGTTTGGTCACCAAAAAATTATTTTTAACGATTAAAAAATATTTTAATCGCCAAAAAGCTAAAATACTTGGAGGGAGAGCTTTCAAATTTTGAAAGAATTTATAAAATTAATTGTTTGGCTGCGAATTTTGGCTGCGAATTGGGTAAAATTACCAATAAAATGACCAAAATGTTTTATTTATTTATTAAATAACCTGGACCCTAATCTCTCAGCAGCAGCCTCTCTCTTCCCACTCTCTCACTGTCTTCTGGATCGTTCTTTGATCTCTCCTCTCTCTCTGGCGATCGTTCTTTCCTCTCTTCTTCGGCAACACTTGTGGACTGGTTGCGGCTCCACACCGTATGAGGAGTCATCTCAATTTAGGAATCTCCAAGCCAGAAGAGGTTTCAGATGATACAGTGAAAGCTGTGGCTGATACTTTAAAGAATTCTAATTTTCTAGGTTTCTGAAGATGGTGAGTTTTTATTATTTCTATATTTCTGCCCTGTTTGGATGCTGTGGAGAAGATGTGGAAAAGAAAATTAAGAATTGTAGCTTGTGTCTGGTTTTATTTCTTTTGATATTGGGCAGAATTACATTGTTTGTGCGTTTTAGGTAAGAAGATTGGTAGGGCTACTGAGCTTTTGCTGCCATATGAGGTCATAGAATAATTAGACAGTAGGACAATTGTTGCATCACCCATAGAGTATGATGTCAAGCTTGAAGATGTGGAATCCTTCTTTGGTCAGTTTGCCAAGGTATTGGTTTCACCCCCTTTCCCCTTCCTTTTCTTTTCTTTTCTTTTTCTCAGTAATTTAGGTACTTTTGAGCATGCCTATCCTTTTGTAGAATCTCCTAATACTTATGTACAGAACTTAGCTGGGTAACGTAGGTTTTCTTCTTGATTGTAATGTCTTTGAAAGAAGCCTACTTTTGTTTCAACTACCCTTGTGAAATGTTCACAATGTATGTGTAGTCATTTTCTGAAAAACTGTTTTTGATTTTTATTTTTGTTGAAAACAACTCAATTTTCAGGGACAGACATTTTGCACACAAAAAAGAAAGTAATGGGTGCTTTTGAACTTTTTATGTTAACGAAAACATAAAAACTACTCGCTTTTAATTTTAATTTTTTTTTTAGATGTCTTTTGAAATCATCACTTAATGTTATGCTGTGTTTTAGACCTCAATTTGGAACCTGCAATTCCCCTGATTGTTGGCAGATGAGGATCGTATTCTTCTTTTTATAAGTTTTCAGAAAAAGGCCGAGCCTCGAAGTAAGTTGTCATTTGAAGACTAAAAGAACCAACTCAACAATTTCAAAAAAGATAGATGAAAACCAATTAGGGGAATTGCACGTGATCATGAAAAAGAAAAATACTGAAAATAGGAAATATGATTTGTGCATGTAAGTTGCTTTACCTGTCACATTGTTGCTGTAAAGTATTCCCTCATGACTGGTTTGAAGATTAATTTCCCAACATAATCAATCTGATTATTGAACTAAATGTAAGTTAAAAATGATGTTTTGATGGTATCGGACTTCACTTTCCACATGAGTGCAGACAAAATTATATGGTGTTAGGTTTTATTCTTGGCAATCCCGTTTGACAAAACTCCTTTCAGTTGTATTTATTTTCGCACTTTTTATTTCAGTGAGGCTATGAGTGTTTAGATGCGAATCCAACCCGAATTGTGCTTTTTCAGAGAAGTTTGTGATGATAAAGCTCCACAGATTGCCACTTCGCTGATTATTACGGGGGTCGAGCTGCCCGGTCAGCTCGCGGCCCGAAGCAAAATGCAAAAATGCATTCATGTTGCCTGTTCGATCATGTTTTATTTTTCCAGATTTTCCAGTTTTGGCCTGTCCGCTCAAGTGGCCTCCTGGGCGCTCGAGCGGGGATTGGAAGCTCTCAGCATCTCTGCAGTCGCCCAAAAAATACTGGTGGGTGTGATTTTACGCTCGAGCGGATTCTCCTACGCTCGTGCGCATCTCAGTTTGTTCGCATGCAGTTTTTGGTCCGTCCGCTCGAGCGGGCTGTGTTGAGCTCGAGCGGACCGCGCGATCCCAGATTTCCAGATTTGATTAAAGAGTTGGTTTTCTTCTGAAATTAGGATTGCTTTGGTTCTCTATAAATACTTGATTTTTTTCCCAAAACTGTGTAATTTGATTGAACTTCTCCAGATCTTATTTTTGGATCTTAAGGTTTATATCTGGAGATTTTTTGCTAGTTTTCTTTGATGTTTTTATTGAGTATTCAACTCATGGTTTAAAGAGAGTACATCAAAGGTTGTGTTTTGTTCTACAAAAGAGAGAGTTGTTCTTCGGTGGATTTTGAAGAATTCGAGCCTGAAGCTTTGGTGGAATCCGGAGTGGCTCATCAGAAAGACAATTCCGTGGTGAAGATGGGGTTGGAAGAGGCACATAAAGGTTGGTTCAATTAGGCGTTGTGTATTCGCTAGGTAATTGAGAGTATACCTGTGTAATTCCTTTAATTCTTCTTAGTGGATTGTCTTGTGGCTATTGCCCGTGGTTTTTTGATCACCGTTGGAGGTGTCCAATTGTGGTTTTTTCCACGTTAAAATTGTTGTGTCTCTTTGTCTTGATTGTTTGATTGTTTGATTGGGATTGTTATATTCTGCTTAAAATTGATACATAATCACAAATCAACATCTAGGGGATTTCTAGATTTTTCATATGGTTATATAGTCATCCATTTGAGTAGAATATTTCTATATCTAGGCAAAACCATCACTATAGGAAATTGTACTTTTGCCGATGAAAATTTTTGTCAGCAAAAGTCCATTTCTAGTTGGCAAAATTTTTTTGCGACTAAATTTTTTGGTCACCACTTTGGCGCCAATGGAGGGTCGGGAAAAGTAAGTAGCGACTAAAAATTTTTTTAGTTGGGAAAAAGTTTCTATTTGCCGAACAAATTTTTGGTAGCCAAATAAATATTTACCGCGACTAAACCATTTGTAGCTAAAACAGTTTAGTCGTCAAAAGTGATATTTTTCCAACTAAATATGTTAGTCACCAATTGTCATATTTCATAACGAAATATATTGGTCGCCAATTGTTACATTTTACAATGAAACATGTTAGTCGCCAAAAGTCACATGCCACGACCAAACATGTTAGTCACCAAAAGTAATGTTTGCATAACCATTACTTTAGTTGGCAATAGACCTATTAGCAACTAAACCCTTTGGTTGTCAAAATTAATAATTTTACTGAATAATTATTTAGTTGCCAAATGTACCCTCTTGCCTACCAATGTTTTGGTCGCCAAATGTGAGTGGTGATACACCGACTACCTTATTTAGTTGGCAAATTGGTTATTGATGTTTCCCGACTAATCACTTGGTCACCAAAAGAGGAAAAACAAAACTAAAATTTAGTCGCCAACATCCAACAAAATCAACCTGTAATTTATAATAATCCATCAAATCCATCCAATATAATCTGTAATTTGCAATAATCATGCAAACCAACAAAATCAACTGGATCATGAACATTCAATAAAATATATAAATTATTCAATCCTGAACGTATTTAATTAAAATCATCAACTTTTATAATTTTTCATCTACAAGTAATTCCAAACTAGATGTTCCTCCAATTAAAAATCCACTTGTAATCTATATAATCATCCAAGTCACATCCATCTAGCATAAAAATATAATCATCCAAGTCATATCCATCTAGTTATGTTTTAAATTTTTATCCATGCACATCTATCAAAAAATATAACTAGTAGTCTACCTAAATATTGTCCATACACATCCATCCAAAAATATAACTACTAGTCTACCCAAATATTTTCTATACATATCTATCCAAAAATATATAATTCTTCAAAAAAATGTAACAAGTGACAACTAGTCCTGTACAATTCAGCTTCGTGCACGAGTTCATCCATCTGTACCAAAGAAAAAGGTAAATAATGTCAGGTAATTTTTTTATGAAAATATTTGCACATCAAATTTTTTTCTCACATTTTTTGGTCTAAACTTCTAACAAGATTTCAATTTTGAGCCTGTTACAAAAAAAAAAAAAAAAATAAATTCTATTCATGTAATATACTTGGTTTGAATCCAATGGTACACCTTATAACAAACCAAGTAGAATTTTAACCTACAAACTCAGAAACTGCTCATATGTTGAAAACAAATATCACTACCAACTAAACAAAAACATAACGTCAAATTCGTAACAAAACACAAAACTGATAATTAAGTCCTAAGAAAGCATGTTAAAAACTACATAACATGTCGCAATCATATGTTCTTCCTAGTTTATGCTAAGATATACAGGAATGGAACAACCACCATACTAAACAAAAACAGAGAACACAATACATACATCCAAATTCACTGACATATCCTATATTTGTTATTTATAGCATTTTGTGACCCCTAATTGGCATTTGTCATCAATGGTAACACAAAATCAAAGAGCACTACGAAGCACTAGTGAAATTTAATTGAGATTCCATCAACAAATTATTATTCAGCAAATTGCGCAAACTCGACGGGAAGGAAGTGCTTGAGGGAGAGAGAAAGAGAATACGAAACTGACACAGAGAGAGAGAGAGAGACGGTGGTTCTTACCTTAGTAGACGATGGTCCTCGCTTCTCTCGCCGATGCAGATGGTGGAGGCGATGGAGCTTCGAAATTGCTAATCGCTCTGAGATTGGATCTGAGATGAATCACCAATCGCTCTGAGATTAGATCAAACGGGGCTGAAGAAGGCTGATTCGATCGGTTGAGAGAGATTAGGGTTAAGAGAGGGTAGAGAGAGAGATCGAGACCAAGACCAGAGACTGAGTGAGAGAGTAAGGGGGCCTAAAAAGTTTTTCAAGTTTTTTGTTTTAGTTATTGTAATATTTGTAATATTTTAAATTGTAATATTTTAAATAATTTTTTTTTCCACTCACACAGATCCGCTCGAGCGGCCAACTCCACGCTCGAGCGTCCAACACTGCACAGGAAATACTGGATGATGATAAAATTGATTATCTTTGTTAACCATCTATTGAATGCTGTAGCTTTATTCAATGCTTATATTTGGTTTAGTATTTTTCTACTGGGCTGTGGCTCACCCTTTATGGGAACATCATTTTCAGGTTCAGGTGATAAGCTACCTCCCCGGACTTAGCCTGGAAGGATTTGATGTTTGGGATTTTGAAGACTTGTCTTTAGTTATATGTTTTACTTTGTTATTTTTTTGAGATTTCATGTCAACATTCAAGCCTAGGGCTTAACTTGTAATTGAGTTAGTACTCATCCTTTTTGTGTCCAAGTGTTAGCTTGGAACGATGTAAGCCCTTAGGGCATTTATTTTGATGTTGCAGGATGTTACATGTGATGTCTTTCAATAAGAATACTCTGATGACTAACTCAAATGATTCATTTTCTTTTATAAATGCATGTTAATGTTATGGTTATTATGGGTTTATTTTGAGGGCGTTACAACGTAAGTGTTATCAAACAGCACCTTAGAGTTCTTATGTTGTCAACATTTTAAATCATTCATTAGGATTGGAGATGCTCTATCTAACAGGGTATAAAATGACGATTTGATTGTCGGCAAATTTGAATTTGGCGGATCAGGATGCTTTTGAAGGGAATGCATCCACTGTGTTGTATCACTCTGGAGAGTCCTGAGATCGGAGACCAGTCGAGGATCGGCTCTGGTATACCGATGGCAATGGTTTCTGGTAGATCTGACGGCAATGCCTCGAGATCTGTGGCCAGCTTCGCCGGTGTTCTCTACAAATGGACCAATTTCGGTAAAGGATGGAGATCGAGATGGTTTCTGCTCCGTAATGGCGTCTTTTCGTATTCGAAGATTCTCATGCCGGAGACTCTAGCTTGTTTTCCGGACGGCGAAGACGTTAGGTTGATCGGTGACGTCTCCTCCGGCCGCCTTTCGCGGCTCGACAGCTCCGGTGGAAGACACAAAAACCGCAAGACTCTTGGCATCG